GTTGGTTGGTTTAATGGAGGAAACCTGTTATCGTTAACACACAAGTGTTGGTTGGGGTTCAAAAGCTTCCCTCTCGAAAAATTACTTTTCATTAAATACTCAAGCCACGATTATTACAAAAAAAAAAAGAATAAGCCAAATATTAGCTTTTATTAACTACTAATCTACCCGATAAACCCAAGAAAATAGCCAAAATATCAGTTCTATTAACTACTTGTATAAATCTACCCAAAGAATCGGTCAACTCGATATACATCACTTTATTAACTACTCCTAGACGACTCTGCATGAGATATACATACCCATGCCTGCCTTATTTACCATGCTTATCTTGTTTGATGAACTACATGTTAGGCATGTAACATCTCCTCCCTCCTTAAAATTCGGTCTTGTCCTCAAGATCAAACATCTCCTCCCTCCTTAAAATTCAGTCTTGTCCTCAAGATCAAACATCTCCTCCCTCCTTAAAATTTGGTCTTGTCCTCAAGATCAAAATCTGAAAATTGTTGGTCTATTCCAACGATGCTATCTTCTTCTTCATAACATGCCTTAATTGAAAAAAACTTCTTACATTGATGCCCCGACACAAATTTTTCATTACAATTATAACACAACCTTTTTACACGTCTCTCTTGCAATTCAGCAGATGTCATCTGTCGAACTGGACACGTAGGACAGTTGTTGGTTGCCTCTTTGTTGCTTGTGATGGACTTCTTCGTATCGGAAGACTGTTGGTTGCCTCTTTGTTGCTTGTGATGGACTTCTTCGCATCGGACGTTGGAACAACTCATCGCTGCGAGAAATTACAGGCCTCGTACAAACCGGCAAGTCTGATAGCTGCTGATAAGGTTGTAGGGCGCCCTGCTAACACGTATGACTTGATGTTGTCCCTTAATCCGCTGATGAAACAACTAACTTGGCGGTTAGGAGGAAGATACCCCACCTTAGTGAGCAACCTTTCAAATTGACTTTGGTAGTCTGAACAGTTCCAATTTGTTGCAACTTAGCTAACTCTCCAAAGAAATCTTGGAATTGGGTGGGACCATACGTAGCGTGCAAAACGTCTGCCAGGTCATTTTGCCTCATTCTTGTTTGAATAGTTGGTACCACAGCTGAGCGTCACCCTCCAAATGGAAGGACATAAGAGCCCACACGTTCTGCCTCTAGTGTTTGATGGAACTGAAAAAATTGCTCTACCCTGCAAGTCCAACTCATCGTGTCGTCTACACCATTAAAACGAGGAAAATCGAGTTTGACAAGCTTTGGAGCGAAATGCTGCTGTGATCCATTTTGACGGTTTCCATTGGTGTTCCCAGGTTATGCTCTATGGTTTTGGAGTGGAGCCCTTGAGTTCTCCCCTACTTCAAGTTCAATATTAGCTGAACATGACTTAAGCTTTTCGAAAAACTCATTAAGCTTGTCCATTATCTGTTGCTGTCCAACATTGAGAGAGCTCACATCATTTTCCAACTTCTCCACTCGCTGATCCATGTCTTTGCTTTGATACCACAATGACACTTACTGAGGAGAGTTTTTCTTGTTCTTCGATGTATCTATCTTGTTAATGCAGCATAAAACAAGAAAAATTAATGAGTAGTAAGTAAAATAGGTTTAATGGAGGAAACCTAACCTCGTTAACACACAAGTGTTGGTTGGTTTAATGGAGAAAACCTGGCTTTGTTAATACTGTTGGGATTCAAAAGCTTCCCCTCCCCCAAAAGATTACTTCTTCAAAAGCTTCCCCTCCACTTCTCATTAAATACTCAAGACACGTTGATTATAAGAAAATAGCCAAAAGATCAGCTTCTACTAACTACTCATGTAATCTACTTGATAAACCCAAAAAAATAGCCAAAATATCAGTTCTATTAATTACTCAAGTAAATCTACCCAAAGACCTGGTCAACCCGATATACACGACTTTATTAGCTACTCTCTGCATGAGACTCATGCCTGCCTTATTTACCATGCTTATCATTAAAGAAGATAAGCTACATGTTAGGCACGTAATAATAATCTTCCATTTTCTCAGCATTTCTTTATTTTTTTTGCTTACTTTTCAATCATTTCTATCATGTTCTCCTTAGTTTCAATGTAGAGTTGAGTTTTTTTTTTATGTTGAACAATATGTGGAATTGAGTTTTTTTTGTTTATTGTTGCAGATCTTTCAGTGATCTACAAGGTAAATAACCTTATGTTTTTTCTGCATTTCTATGCACTTATTCATTTCTTTTGCTTATATTTCGGTCCTTTCCATCATGTTCTCCTTAGTTTCTATGTAGAATTGATTTGCTTTTTTTTTTTAGAATATTATGTGAAATTGAGTTATTTTTGTAGATCTTTGAGTGATATCCAGAAGTCCTAATATGATTTGTTGATTGAGGCTTTGTCGATCAAGTTGTTCGAGATGATTTGTGTAATATTTACAATATTGCTGAATTTTTTAACTATTATCTATCATTTCCTTCGATGTGTCTCATTTTATAGATAAATCTAAGATCTAATAAAACCATAAATGTATTTCTTGATTGGAACTCTAAAAAATATCTTTTTGGTTCTCATTTCATTGGATGTGAAGATACCGCTTTTTAGGAAATAATTGATCGAATTCCAACAAATAAAGAATATTATATTATGACTATTTATCATGTAATAAAAAAATTATATTCTTGCCTTCGCTCTATCCACAATTGCTTTATGGGAATCTAATGTGACGGGCACAATACATAGTCATCATACAAAACAAGAACTCTTTTGATTCATCCTATTGGCTCTGTCCATCCTAAATACGTATCATCCATATAAAGTAGAGGGAGTACTATACATTAAATATTTGCATTAACAAGGATGGCATTTGCATTAATTTGGAATTTGCAATTTTTTTTGTAAATGTGCATTGTGCTTTTATTGTGGATTTTTTAAATTATTTCAATGAGATACGATTTAGGTAATTATAAAAATATATATTGTTTAGTTAGTGCTATATATTAAATATTTACATTCTTTCTGATAACATTTGCATGTCTGACTTTGAGATTAGGATTTTTATTTTCGAATACTGATCCACTGACACGATTCATGAATCTAATTAATTAATTATTTTCAAAATAATGTATCAAATTTATAATTATTTGATACAATATTCAATTTTAAAAATAAATTCATTCATTTAAAAATTTTTAGTCTTTATATAATCTTATTTTATCACAAATAGTATATATGAATTATTTATTTCTTTCATAACTTTAAAGAAATTGTAAATATTTAATAAAATTATTCAATTATGACAATAAATTCAATAATATCTAAGACCATATTTTATTTAAAATATTTTTCAAAAATAAATATGTTTTAGTGATTAATATTAAATATCAAGTGCAATGCACATGCATATTATTAATATTATATTAGGCAATAATGAACCAATTTCTTATCGATGAAGTTTGTATAAGGTGCCCCTTTATACTACATAAGTAAGGCGGGCCTCTAAATATCATTGGAAGATGTGCTTCATATGATAAACTTTAAAATGGCTTAAAAAATATATTCAACCTAGTTATAAAATTTAAAATTTTAAAAAAAGTACAAATCAATCAGATATGTAAACACTTGAAAATTTTGAAAAAAGACGATTCAGATCACTTATTGCTGAGTGTACTACTATGTATGTGGGATTGTTTTTTCTTTATATCATACATCTTGATGTGGAAATGATCAATTAGATAATTTTCCAAACTTTGGAATACTCTTTTTTACTTGATTTTTAAGTTACAATTGCTTGATTTTTAAGGAACACCTTCCTTCCTTATTCTTGTATAGTATATAGCTGCAGCCTTATATAAATTTATCTATGGGTGCAATTGGCATAGAGATGCATCTGTAGCTGTAGAGGTAAGGTGCACCTTCAAATTTTATCATGGTATATAACTTTGTTGCAAAATGTTCTTAGGATTATCTCAAAATCTATTTTTATATCTAACAATAAAATTTTAAATTTAAAAAATAATTAAAATCAAGTAGATCTATAAACATTTGAAAATATTGAAAATGGACGGTGTAGATAATATGTTGTAAACTACACTATTTCTGAGACTTAAAATCTTTTTATTTTTCATGGTCATACATCTCGATGATCAATCAAAGGGTTTTTCAACATTAAAACTACATTTTCCGAAAGATTATCGAGGTGCATCCATAGTTCTACATTATAAGGTTGCATCTTTATATAAACTTTTTCCTTTATCTATTTATTGATAGTAGGAAAAGTTGTTTGATAGGGTGTCAGCCCTACCTATAAAGCTTCACCTCATAATTCATCAAAAATTATAATTTTAAGTATTGAAAAAGCTTTACATTGATCATCGATCATCTCAGTTTGAACATATTAGTTGTGAAAAAAATTAAGATTTTAAACTCGAAAAATTATGTTAGCTATAATAAATGAGTGCGGTTATAGAGCTTAGGCTCTAAACCAACAAATTAGAGCCTACCTTCAATTAGTGTCGAGAAATGTGGTTTCAATACTGAAAATCTTTGTGATAGCCTTAAAATATATTTTCATCCTTATTTATAAAGTTTAAAGCTTTGAAAATAGTGTAGATTGATAGAGCTATAAAACCTTGAAAATCTTGAAAATTGACGGTCCAAAAATGCATTACAAAATGCTTTATTATCAAAACTTGAAATCTATTTTTTTTTCATGTCTATGCATTTTGATGTCGAGATGATCAATTTGAGGATATTTAGGCACCGAAACAACTTCTTCTAGTGAAAATTTTGATGTAAGCTCAAATTTGATTGTTTAGAGCCTCGGCTCTATATAAACTTTCCCCATATAAATTATCTAAATCATCTATTTTACCTTAAAAATAAGTGTTGATAGAGCCAAAATCGTACTATTTTTTTAATTTTAAATTTTATTACTAGTATTCGAAGTTGTTTTAGATCGATCGTGGATATTTATGTCTGAGGATTTTAGGTGAGGCTATATTTTGTTTTGATAAAGGCTGGGCCTTATTGAGATGTTTTGTTTTCTTTTGAGCCTAAAAATAGAGGCAGTTCACACCAGCTGAATTGAGCCCACCTCTCAGTAGTGACCAGAGATGGCTCCTTCGCTCTCTAGCCCCAAAACTATTTCCCAAACTTTCTCTCTCATCCCTAGTCATTCTTTCTCTCTGGTTTCACACCGTTTACCAAATTATCGGAACCTTCTCCCCAGAACTCATGAGCCGAGTTTAAGGCTAAAGCATGGAATCCAGTTATCCTTCGATACCAACTCAATGGGGGGCTTTCGTTGTGGGGCAATTTTATCTGATGTTGAAAGAGAGAGAAATTATAGGAAAATTGGGTCTCAATCAACTGGTTCTCTCTCTGCAAATCAGCTCTTGGAATTGGTCGAAGCCGCTGCGAAAACTGGTGCTCAGGTTGGTTCATAGGCTTACCAGCTTTGAAACTATGGTTTTTCTTGTACTTTTTTTTGGCGTTTTTTATTTATTCAAATGAATTTCTTATTGGATTTGGGGCTTTCAATTTCTTCTTTGAGTTTTTTGTCTTCTATTTTTTTGTCCCTTATGTTTTCTCATTCATGGGAATTTTCGGCCGAAGATTTTCTTGGGTTACGGTTCTTATGGGATTTTTCTCTTCTTTGATTTTTTTGTTTTTTTTAAAGGATTTCTTGAGCTGAATTTCTTGTTTGGGTTGGGTTCAATACTAGGATGTGGCAACTCATGTGATTTGGTTCCCATTTCCTTTCAATCCTGTTTTTGAATTCTTACTATATCTTTCAAAATTAGTTTTTTATAAATTTTTACATAGCACAAAGGAAAGAATAAAATTATGGTGAAACTGAAAAGTAATTTGTGTAAAAATAAATGAAGAGTAGGAGAGAGGGGACATGAAAGAAAGTTGATAGAAAATGTTTTATATATGCCAATTCTCACACTTGTAGATTTGTTTTAAAATATAATGTATGACTCCCAATGGTTTGGTTTTCATTAATGAGAATAATCGTTATTCTTTTGGCATTTATAACAATCGGTTACTTCATTGAGGTGAAATTCATTTGCATATATGGATCCAAAGAGGTTTTGTTAGTTATCTGTATCTACTCCAACCGTCGCGGTTGGACTTTTAAGTTCATGTGACTCTTATGGTTCATTATCGTTTCCTTAGCTTATCTTTTCATAGTTATTTCTTAGCGATGTTTAGTATTATGATGCATGTTTGGAGTTTTCATATTTCATTATATTGATGAATTTGTACTGTTTTGCAGGTTGTAATGGAGGCTGTTAATAAGCCTCGAAGTATCACTTACAAAGGAACAACAGACTTAGTGACAGAGTAAGGACAATATTACATGTTAACTTTTGTTTGGTGCATAAAATATGAAAATGTTGCCATTACTTTTTTTCTCTCGTAACTGCTCTGAAATAGTGAATGGACTGTGTGATTTCCACATTAACTGGTAATTTTTTCTTAACATCCTACTAAGTTTTTTTATGGTATTTCAGAACCATACCGACTCATTGCTTGCAAATGTCATGTGTTGTTGACATTGATCAGTATATACTTGTATGCAAACTGCCACATGTTTTACAAATGCTAATATTAAGCTTAGTAGTCCCTTGTGGGGAACCAATATTGGTTAGGTTCTATGTATTATCTTATTCTTAAGAAGTTCTAAACCCTGGTTTCAAAGAAGGAAAGAAAAAAAATAAAATAAAATAAAATTGCTCCTTGGCCATAGTTTGGCCTGGTGATTGAGTCATTCATTCATTGGCTAATTCCTTGAGAACGTTTTTGGCATAGTAATTTGGATAAGGACCTCTTTTCTGCTGTTGGGCTTTGCTATTTTATTATAGCTATCTTGCAGAGCCCTTTTTGGTAGCTTTTACTCTTGGATTCAACGTATCACTTGCTTTCAATTGAGCAATACCTTGATTACTCCCTTGAACCTGTGATTATTTTGCTTTTGATCTTTCAAACTGGCTTCCCCTAGACATTTGTTCCTCTTTCTTATTCAATTATTATCTTGTGTCTCTCAAAGGATTATGAGATGCCTTGCTAAATGCTATCCCAGGGATGTTGACAATAGCTTTGTCCCTTCTAGTTGGTAGGATAAAATTGAGACAGTGAATCCCCTCTCAGTTCTAGTTATGATGCAACCTTCATTGCTTTACTTTTTCTGGATAGTTCATGGTACCTTTCATTTGCATATGTGCCTTTTTTTGTGTGGAACTTTGAGCTGGACAGATTTGATCCTCTCTCTTTATGGTATTAAAATTGCAAAAGAACTTTAGTAATATTCTTAGTGTGGGTTTTGGAATTCCTTTTTCAGTACAGATAAAAGGAGTGAGCTAGCCATACTAGAAGTTGTTAGAGACAACTTTAACGATCACCTTATTCTTGGGGAGGAAGGGGGACTGATAGGGAACACATCATCTGATTATCTCTGGTGTATTGATCCTTTGGGTTTGATCTCTCTCTCTCTCTCTCTCTCTCTCTCTCTCCTCCTCCTCCCTCCTCCTCCTCCTCCTCCTCCTCTCTCTCTCTCTCTCTCTACTCTACTACTACTACTATACTACGTATAC